CCCTCCCGGCCCTCCCGGCTTTCCCGCCCTCCTGGCCCTCCCGGCTTTCCCGCCCTCCTGGCTTTCCCGCCCTCCTGGCTTTCCCGCCCTCCGGTCTCTCCCGCCCTGCTACCTCTCCCGGCCCTCCCGGCCACCGTTAGCGCCGCCGCCCTAAGTACGAACGTCCTGTGCAACCACCTGGTTTTGGCTTACAGCAGCCACCATGGTTAGCCAAGCCATGGATACCTGCTCCCATGATCTCTAATGTAATTAATTCATTTTACAGTATTATAATCATATTCACCTTGGGAGTTTAAAACATTGTGCGTACTCACCGAAGTGTACTTTTGGGAGTTAAGCTACAGCTTTTGGTTTCACTTCTACCTTTGATAGATTGGTATACAGATTCCAGAGTCTATTAGGCTGTCTTATCTTCGTTTCAAGCTGTGTATGGAGTCAGCCTCCACCACTCGGGTATTCCATTTGTTCGTTATTGTTACTGTAAAAAATGCATGTTTATGGCTTATTCGGTTACAGTAATTAGTTCACACCTGTCCTTGTTTGTGCATCATCTATATCGAATAGATTCATTATCTGCCATATCTACTCACAAATATTTTGTATGTGGTGATCATGTCTTTCCTGACTTTTCTTTCATCCAGTGGTGTGAGGATTAATTTCTTTATTTTTTCCGTGCAACTTATACCTGTCGGTTCTGGTACTAGTGTAGAGGCATACCTATGGTCTTTCTCCAGCTTTGCTTTCTATTTAACGAGATAAGGGAAACCATCCTGGCTACGTGTTCAAGAACTTATCTGGCAGGCAATATACCATCCCGTCCTTTCAAGTTGTCCCAACAAACAGAAAATGTTGTACCATATTAACCAAACTTTACAGATGGACCCACTCACAGAAAACAGGAATGTTTGTGAGCCACTGTGATTTATACTACATACAATTTTGTCCATTGGGGGATTTTGACGTCAAAATGCGATGAACATTTTGACGTCAAAAAGGCAATCTGTCCTCTTCCAGAGGACAGATTGCCTGTACAGGGTCCAAGGTGACTCACTATTCAGATATCTAAAGTCAATTGATACGTCGGTCAACCTTCCATGTACACCTACTATATATATACTTGCCGATATTTTAAATAGATACTCTGATTTTTTTGTATTTGTAAAACACTTTATATTTCGTTACATCTTGTAGCTAACTTGCAAATAATAATTTGGCATTATCAGGACAAATGGGTATTTGGCATTATCAGGACAAATGGGTATTTGGCATTATCAGGACAAATGGGTATTTGGCATTATCAGGACAAAGCCGTCGGCTTTGACAAGCCGACGGCTTCCTGTCCTCATCGAGTCCACTAAAGTGTTATAGGCCCTCAGGTAAATTGAGGTAATTCAGATAAAGTAACTTCGATAGCGCTGTCATGACATTAACTGAGATATTGATGATGTGATACTAACAAGCAGCGCGGAAGTGCTACCAGGCAGGGGTCTCCTGCTATTAATTAACTAGGAGAGTTATATTAACTGGCAAGTAGTGTTGTCGGGCCATATAACTGGCAGGTCCTCGTATCTGGCCATTAAAAAATAAGCGTGTACAGAAAGGCAGCCTATATAGCCTTCAGTGGGTGCCGAGGGACTGTGGCCCATATGTCATCTGTGAGTAAGTGTTAGAGTTGTTTGGAAAGTGAATGTGAGTCATGCATTGTTTCTGCTCTAGTGGTCGGGACCATTTGTCAGGTGTGCCAGGTGTGTACTAGCCTAGTTGTGCTTGCGGGGGTTGAGCTCTGGCTCCTTGGTCCCGCCTCTCAACTGTCAACCAACTGGTGTACAGATTCTCGAACTAGGACACAAACAATAGCCACCCAGCCAATGAACTGACAACCCAACATAACAAATGCCCAAACAAACGTCACACACATATGCCAACCCATGGTGGACCGGCCACCGAACTTTCAAACCTCTTCCTCCTCCTCCCCCCCATCCCTCTACCTCCCCTATCCTTTCCAAACCCTTTGGACATCAAAGCGAAAGTGAGACTATTGGGCTCTATCAAGTCTACATTTGAAACTGTGTATAGAGTCTGCATTATGCAAATGCATTACATTTGTTAACTACTTTGACACTAAAAACAAAAAAGTTCTTTCTAATGTCTCTAGGGCTCATTTGGGCACTCAATTTTCGCCTGTCTCCAATTGCATGTACCCCACGTGTTACATAAACTGTTTTTATCAACCCCGTCAATTCGTGTGAGAATCTTGTTTGTGATGATAATGTCTTCCCTAACTCTTCTGTTCACAGACGTCTGTGCACAGACGTTGTCATTCAGCGACGTGTGTGTGTGTAATGTATTGACCGACTCTGACCTAACTTTAAGAGTCGCACCTCTATAAATTCATCCATCGTTTTGCATAAACCAATAATTACCAATAAAACCTAATTACGTTACCTAAGTTAGGCCTAACTATTCAGCACATTCTAGTATGTAATTATATCACCTTATAGTCGAGAGAATACAAATTAGGAATGCGCATTAGGTTAAAATTATTGACTAATACGTCATTGGGTTCCGCCGCCGCCTGGACATGCCTAGCCTGTGGACAGATTGCGAGGAAGCGCAGTTTTCGTTCTAATTTGCATAATTTTCTTTAGTGGTATATGTGACGAGCACATTTCTAGTACCACTATGCCTATCCTCTCGAGGCACTAGTAATGTTCTCAGTTGTTCTTGCAAGGGCGAACAACTGACCCTCCCCCTTGAGAACCTTACCACGTGTTTGTTATATGGTAAGCACATAGAGAGTTGATTAGGTCGGTAGTTTAACTGGAGGGCAATGTGTGTGTGAGGGTTGGCGCCGATTCTGCACGGAAGGCAGCACCATGTATTTGGGTCAGAAGGGCCTGGCGCTGGGTGTTGGGGTGGGGGGTGGGTAGGGGTGACACACATATATACATATCTACATTACATATGTAAGTCAGTAGGGTGCACTTTATTTGCCTGGCATGTAGTTACATCCCATGGGCCGCTCTGCTATCCCACAGTTCAGTGTGTCTAGGCTTGCTGCACCCATACTCTATTGTGTCTGTACTAGTTCTAGGAACTAGTACAGTATTATTTATGTTCTTACGTTGATAAGTCATTGCATTTTGTGCTTGTTGGATAGTAACATTTTATGTTGCTAACATGTTAATAATTACCTTCATTTGTATTTTTGTTAGTACTACAATTGGACAGCTGTCCAAACTTGTTTTCCTCAGTTCTGTTTTCCTTGTTGTATCAGTGGGCCACATACAGTAATATGTTTAATGAAGATTAGTTCCAGCTTCTGCACTTTGGAAAAAAATGGTAACCACTTATAAAACACAGTGCTCTTTAGGGTGTCCAACAACAACAGCCCCGAGGCTGTGTTGTTGTTGGATGATGATGATGATGATGGTCATCTTCATCCAACTGAAGAAGGCCTATTGGCCTTCTGCAGTTACCTTTGTTCTAATGTGCTAAAGTTATATTAGCCTTGTAATTTAGATTGTTTTATTGAGTACATTCTAGCAGTAAAATATCTTTGTACGTTCCCAAGGTCTGCAATTTCTGCAGCTGTAAACGAGGCTGTTATTGTCCACTAATAACAGCCTCAACACAGAATGAGGCTGTTATTGGTGGACAATAACAGCCTCATTCAAATCTGGAGAAATTGCAGACCTTGGGAACGTGCAAAGATATTTTACTGTTAGAATGTACTCAATAAAACATTCTAAATTACAAGGCTAATACTTATAACTGTATCCTATTGGCCCATAAGAGACAGCTCCTATTTATAACTACCCAATCCCACTCATATATGTCTAACACACCATAGGTTGTGATACAGTCGTGTACACTAATATATAGGACAGAGACAATATTTAGGCAGGATTGACAAAATATCATTTCAGGTTTATTTTGTTTAGCATTGTAGCGGAGGGTTTAATAATGATGAATATGATGTAAAATTAAGGCTGCGAGTAGCCGCGTCCAGAATCCTGGTTGTGACTGTATAGTACCACCAACCAAGGACCAGATTCACGAAGCAGTTACGCAAGCACTTACGAACCTGTACACCTTTCCTCAATATTTGGCGGCTTTGTTTACAATTATTAAACAGTTAATGAGCTCCTAAGCACCAGGAGGCTGTTTATAACAAAAACAACAGTTGATTGGGAAGTTTTCATGCTTGTAAACTGTTTAATAAATGTAACCAAAGCCGTCAAAGATTGAGGAAAGATGTACACGTTAGTTAGTGCTTGCGTAACTGCTTCGTGAATCTGGCCCCAGGAGACCTGGTTAGGAACCGGGCCAAGGGGGGACATTGGTCCCCGGAGAATCAACAACGGGTAGGAAATCATCAATGAATGCCAAGTTAATTTTTAATGATCTTAAATTTACCATCTCTGGTTTATTGACATTGTGTTCTGGTGCTACACAGCTATATGGCAACACAGATAATTAAGTCGATAAATTATAAAACTAGCCTTAATCCGCATTGGTTACTGCATGGAAATTTAGACATTGTATATATGTATCTGTAACTGTGTGTAACTATAATACATTTTTTTGTAATGGTTCCACACACATTACCGTGCAATGTTGAATTATAGGTATGCATTTGACACATGGAATAATGTTAATTTTCAAGAATTTTTATCATTATAGTTATATCAGTACAGTACATATAGAATTTTATTCACTTATATTTTATTGTTATACGGGATATAGGTGTAAACGTGTGAAAGGTAATTAACGGATTAAAGTTTTTTCATACTTTTGTCCCGAGGGGCGAGTATATTGGGCAGCGGCACTCATCCTGGACACACCGCCATAGCAGGATGTTCTACACTTCCCCAGTATTAAGAAAACCCTCTGGGTTGTTCATCCTGTTACTTTATTACATAAATTTGCATGAAAGACTTGTGCTGCGTGATTTTTGTGTTGGCATACGGGAAGAATGATTTGTGGACCTTGGACAGGGAAGTGGCAAGGGCGGCATCCGCATACACGAGGATGCTGGGGGAGGGATATATGTCACCGGCGTCAGCACCCGCAATGTGTCGTCGCTGGAGGAGACGATGCAGTGCCTTCGTGCTGGGGCCTTGTCGCGAACTACAGGCTCCACCAACATGAACACCCAGTCTTCCAGGTCACATGCCATCTTTACGCTTCTAGTCAAGCAGCAGAGAATTGCTCCTGTACAGGTTAGATGGTGATGTATTTGTGTATACTTAAGTTGAACTGTCGCAGAGCATATGCAATACTGAAAGTTGCTAGTACCAGAGGATGCTCCAAATCCATGATATAAAAATGTTAGCATATAGGTTTTATGTTTTTGTTTAAACCATTAGTACTTTGAAAACATAATATGACAATATAGCACTGAGAAGACATGGACACCATGTAGGACAGTAACTACACCTAAGTAATTAAACACACTAAAAGTTTGTTTTTATTGAATGTTTGTGGTAATATATTTGTTATTTCTAGGATGTTGAAAACCCTGAAGATATCCCAGAGTTTGAGACACTAACGGCCAAATTTCATTTTGTTGATCTGGCTGGATCTGAGCGTCTGAAGAGAACAGGTGCCACCGGGGAGAGAGCAAGGGAGGGTATATCAATCAACTGTGGCCTTGTAAGTGGTTCATTCAGACTTATTGATTGATTGATTCATGAAAATTAAGTCACCCAAGAGGTGGCATGGGCATGAATATCCCGTACTCATCCTTGTATCCTCAATAATCTACATTACAGGGGTGGAGAGATTAACTAGGGAGTCATCTTCCCAAAATCTCTTTATCTTTAAAGGTTAAAATCTCCTTGTATGAGGTCAGCATGTGTCTAGGTCCCAGAGAGCAAAGGCAGGTTTTAGTAGCTGGGCAGAATGTCTGAGCAAAAAATTAGGAACAGAAGTTGTGAAAGTGATGAATATGTTAAAAGGAGGAAAGTTCAATAAGCTTGATTTATGCAAGATAAAGATTAAAGGAAATAATGGATTATGCAATGGAGCAAATGTAATAAAAGCAGGAGTGTAGTAATATGAGAGAAGTAAGGAAGGATTATCTATTAATAAAGTAATATGGGTAATAGATAAGTTCTCATATGCGAGGTTGAGGTGTTTGAGTATGTTATCACAAATCTGTCTTTGCAGTACAGTATCTGTACAACAAAGTGCTTGTGTGTCTGTCTAAGGTTGGATGCTAGACTAATGGGCCTAGACCCTCTAAACTTGACAGATTAGCTGGGCCTTGTGGATGGTCAGTAGCAGGTCGAGAGTGAGCCCCATGCTCCCTCTTTCATGAAATGGCAAATTTGTCTAATTTACAATCTTGATAAATACCAGAATCCATTTGCACTAAAGTTCATTCAGCATTTTATTTTCTTCAGAATGATTTAATGATTGTTTGTCTTAGGTAGTTCATTTATTGATGAAGACATTGTTTAGTGAAGATGGTTACAGGGATGAAGGGAAGGTGGTGAAGAGTAGGAATGTGGTGCAGGAGAAGGGAAGGTGGCAAAGGGTAAGGAATGTGGTGAAGAGTAATTAATTTCTGTATTAGATAATCTTTTTAGAATTTTTGTTTTATACAGAGTTTGCATCTTTTACAGCTGGCTTTAGGAAATGTAATCTCTGCATTGGGTGATGTTAGCAAAAGGGCATCCCATGTACCGTACAGAGATTCTAAACTTACACGACTTCTACAAGATTCCCTTGGAGGTGAGGTGTATGGTGCCATCAACTCCATACATTAAATTTGTCTGTAAAATAAAGGTCATATTAGTAGAAATGATGTACAGTAGTTAAAAAGAACTCTTGATAGACTTCAGTTATTTTCAGTGCAGTGCTTTGAGGGTAATAGATTATTAGGTATGGTAACAAGAAAAGTGGAAATACTGTATATTTAATTGTTTTAGGAGTTTTAACTTGAAAGATTTCTAGTCCTATTCAATCTTTAATTGTATGTACTTTTTGTATAGTAAGTAATTTTGCACGATGGAAAGTGATAAAAGCAGTGAAACCGATTATCTCCTGTATAGATAATTTTTCATACACATTCAATTTCAAACTAAAAATATTTGATTTGTTACATATTTTGACCTAATGTTCCAATAAGTCAAGAGTGTTATTGTTACCTTTCTTACTAAAATAAGTCTTTCTCAACAGGTAATAGTCAGACGCTTATGATAGCATGCATTTCTCCGAGTGACACAGACTTCATGGAGACCCTCAACACTTTAAAATATGCTAATCGTGCACGCAACATTAAGAACAGAGTAATGGTTAATCAAGATAAGGCCAGTAAGGCAATTGCTATATTGAGGCAGGAAATTCAGCAGCTTCGCATTGAATTGATGGAATATAAACAGGTAATGTTAACAAAAAGTAAATGTTAAATTTCCTAAATTAAGTTTAGTTAATACAGTAACTGGATGCAATGAAGAAATGCTGTACCTAGATCCAGAACATGGATATAGCTGTGAGGTACATAGTTTCAAACATCAAATTATTTATCTCTGTTTAATAATAGTTTATGAAAATCATCTTAATTTGACCCCTTTGTTCTTTGTCTTAATGATATATATATTATGATAGAGAAAGCATTAAGGGATATAAAAGGAAAAATCACACTGATTGCATACAATGAATCACAGTAACATGGCTGAAGATATATTGGCCTTGCGCTGAATGACAGACTTAATAAGGAACACAAAAGATGTGTTAAGTCTGCAGACACAAATAGTGCTCTCTTCTGTCATTAGGGACTCTTAATCATCCTATAGATTTGTCTTCTAAAATCAAATTGCCTGCCTCTATTCTTCACAGACACCGTCTTGTCAATTTGGCTCCAATTTTAACATGCCTAACATGAACCTTAGTCCTGGCTTTGTTGCTGTTGACTCTTTCCTTTCACAGTACATATTCGAATGCTCTAACCTTCTTAACAAACATAACCTGATTTTGCCCTCTCTAGGCTCTTTCCTGTCTGTCTCTTTTGTTGCTAGATTTTTTCGTTACCTTCGGCGTCTTTTGTTACTATTTTTCTAACTTCTTATTTACACCCTTTTTCCTGTTCTTTCTTTTTCCTTCCCTTCTAACCTTTCCCTCATTCTTAGCTTTTCCCCTTTTTTTCCCTTTTTCTCTTATTCTTTTCTTTCATCTTATTCTTAGTCTTTCTTTCATTCATTCATCCTTCCTTTTATCTCACTCTTCCCTTACATTGTTTATCTCTCCCACTCGGTTTTCATTACAGAAGATGATAATGTTTCATCCGTCCATCTTTCTGGACTGAAACATCCAAAATGTCTTCCGAATCTTCCGGAAAGATTCCGAAAGATTAGGAAAGATCAGAAAATGGATCTTTCAGTCCGTTTTCAGAAAACGGACCTGATGAAGGTCAATTTCCGATGTGTGGTTTGGACATCACTTCTTTTATTTATACTTGAATAGATAATTAAAAAAAAACTGTATTGTACATGTCACTTTGAGGGATTTACATATTGCTGGTATTAAATAGTTAAAGTAACAAAACTGTTAATACCCAAAGTTTATAGTTAGGGCATGACTAAAGGTAAGAAACATTGCCAAGGTCTAGCAAGGTGTGGGCCTACTATACTGTTATTCATCACTAAAAGCTGATTTATCAGAGGGTATCAAAATTTATCAATAAATTTATTATTACAATATCTTATTCTTAATATTTATCCTCTTGTGTGTACAGGGTAAACGGGTTGTAGGTGAAGATGGCTCCGAGGCTGTCAATGATATGTATCACGAGAACCAGATGCTTTCTTCAGAAATCAACAACATGAGGACCCGAATTAAAGCATTACAAGAAACTGTTGAAGTGCTAACAGCTAAAAACACAATGCTATTGGCAGAGAAGGCCACTAGTGGCTGGATTACCTGTAAGTACGATTTTTTGGTTGTGTGATCAATTGCTCATATGAATTCTTATTCAGAAAGTAGCCATATTTTCAAGTCCGAGACTTGTTTTTGTACTCCAATGCTATATTCACAGGTTTTGGTAAAATTCTGTTTGGTGTCTTCATATCCTGCTGTCACAGCCAGTTTTTAAAAATGATCAAAATAGCATCATATAAAAGACACTAAGGTAGACACTGTACATCACAAACATGCCTTCTAGTTAATCATTTGTGTGATAAATAAGATATATATATTGTATGTGTGGAATCACATATATTGTTTTAATCATGAACATACAGTATACCAAAATGACTACACCAAAATCGTACACAATAACAAATTAAAACTAACTACACGTATTTTAGTCATATCAGTGCATGGATTTGACAACAGGGATGTTGTCAATAATTAATAATGTTATTAATGTGCACATAATTGAGAGAAATTGTTTATCTTGGGTGCTTCATGTAACCCGTCCTCAGACCAAGTCCATTCCATCCAGCTGTCGACCCCACAGCCGCATTCATCAATTTTAACTTGCTGTTCAATAAAAAAAAAAAAAAATTCTCAAATATAAATTAATATTATTATATATTAGCATATTGTGCATATTTAGGCACTGGTTAGGTTAGGTGTTTAGGTTCTGTTCCTGATTATTTGTATTTGTAGTATGTGGGTGAAGCATTTACAGCGATGTAGTTTGAACAAAAGTTTTTAGCGAAGCCTTTGTTCCAAAAGTGTTCAGACGTCATCAGTTGTGAGTAGTATATAAACCATTTTTCATTCATAAACAGGGTTTGGTGGGTGCATGGAATGGATTTTGGGTCTTTGTTTAGAGGACAAACAATATTTATAGAGTTCACTATTTTATTTGTGTGTACTCTTGCAGCAGGTGAAGACTCAGACATGGCCACAGTTGTGCAGGGATACCTCAAAGAGATTGAAGACCTAAGAGCCAAATTGTGTGAAAGTGAAAATCTCTGTCAGCAGCTACGTAAACAAGTTAATAATCGAGCTAATAACGTTGGCAGACTGTCAATGTCACCTGTACATGTTCCTATGTCTGGTAAGTTTTAAGAATTACAGTCTTGATCATATACCATTGGTCCATTCTTAGCTTTATGGGGTGGAACATGTACATAAAATTATTTGAGGAAAATTTGTTAATAGAATTTTAAATTTATTGGTGAATCCTTGCAGGTACAGCACCATGCCATGGAAATGTTTCACTTAACAATTTGGTTTTGTGTGTGTACATTAGTAATGGGGAAGCATTTTTCCACTATGAAAGCATCAGTTTTTTCTCTATTCTGTACTGTAAAATTAAGGTAGCATGTGAGAGTGGCAAGAAATTTTGTTATGCTGGTCAGTTATTTGTTTAGTTTCTACACATGGGATGGCTTTTCTTAAATGTTGACATGTCTCAGGTTCCATGATTGGTTGTTTGGAGGAGACTACACAGAGCTTCGCAGAACTAATAGAAGAAGCCAAGCGAGACTTGAACAAAGATCTTCAGGCCATGGAGAGGAAGAAGAGGCTATCAGAAGGGTCTGGCTCAGCTGATGATGATGATGATAATAATGAGGATGAAGAAGGTGATACTGAAGAAAATGAGGAGGAAGTAGAAAGTTCTGATGAAAGTGGGGAGGATAAAGGTATGCTAAAGTTTAGTTCAGCTTTAATGTTTATGCTCCTGCAAAAAGTTCATTTGTTAAGCTGCTAAATATGTTCTACATGGCCTCCACTTTTGATCATGCATTTATCCTACTGACACCAATTCATCAGTCCTGGTGTAAGGGAAATTTATGTAATCATCTAGAGTCAAAATGTAATGGCTAATTGCATTTTTCAGCATTGTTGCAAGTAGCTTACTTGCCAGATGGCATCTTTAACCCTATGGCTGCAATAATACTCTTCCAATTACTCATCAAATGTTGTCTATACAGAGGGTAGATAATCTTCCTGATATGTTTGAATAACAGTCTGGAGATATTTCTCTTGCTATTGATTTAGATTAGAAGGTTTAGTTTCAATATTGATCCTCAGTTGATTTTTTCCATTATAGCTTCTGATTATGGGTATAGTATTGCCCTATGGCTGCAGTACTTCCGTCTTGAGTGTGGGTTACAAACTTATAGTTGTATTTTTCCATATTATTTTATATTAATAAAATGAAAATTACATGTTTTCCAGTGGTTTCATTAAAAAATATAACTATTTTGTATGTAAAGTGGAATCTCGATTTAACGAACTTCAATTTGGTGAATCTCCAGTTGGAACACACACACCTTCCAGGCCAGATTTACTCACCCGAGTCCTCGAACTGTTGTTCACTGAAGCAAGGGATGTGCAAATTTGCTTAGGATGTTGGGACAGAGTTCACAGACTAGTGGAAAAGTTCTCCATCGTATATTAAAATTAGAGTCCCTTGATGAAATCATCCATAGAGCATATGAAATATGAGGATATGAATGGTAATTCTCAGTGCTCCAAATAACGTTTTAAATGAGTTTCATTTATCAACTTAAGATTAAAAGAAAGAGTTGGGGGTCTTGAGATAGCCATTGAGCATATTTAAAACAAAACTCTGTGGTTTTTTCTATTTCCAGTTGCAAAGGTTTTTGTTCAGAAATGAATGTGCCCTTCTTCCTTTGAAAATAAGATTTAAAAGCTAGGGCATGGGAAATATGCTAGATGTGGTTAAATCTCCTTACAGACAGGTTCTCTTGGTAGTTGTCCTTCATATGACAGGTTGAAATTAAAATTTTGCTCAGTGAAATTACTTCATAGAGTATGTGTGAATGGTAACTCTCCAGTCAGGTTTTTAATGATTTTTGTTGATGGCTGCAACATTAGAAGAAAGAGTTGGGGGCTTTGGAAAGCCATTGAGCACATTTAAAACCAAATTCAATGGTTCATTTTCATTTTGAGATTTCCCAGTTTTTGTTCACAAATATGGGCCCATTTCCCCCTGAAAATGAGTTTTTGAGGCAAGGACATGGGAAATATGCTAGATGTGGTTACATCTCTTTACAGATAGGTTCTCTTGGTAGTTGTCCTTTATATGAAAGGTTGAAATTACAATTTCACTGAAATCAGCCCATAGAGCATGAGAAATATTAAGGTATGGCTGGTAACTGTTAATATCACTCCAGTCACATTTTTAATAACTTTTGTAAATGGCCCACATCATTAGAAGAAAGAGTTGGGGGCCTTTGGGAAAGCCATTGAGCATATTTAAAACCAAATTCTATGGCTCATTTTCATTTTGAGCTTTCTCAGTTTTTCACAAATTTACATCCCCCAATTCCAATAAATATCTCACTGCAATGAATTGGAGTTGGTCCAATATAGTTCGTCGAATCAAGGTAGCACTGTATTTAATTTTTTAAATTCTACTACTGTAGTTTTTTAGTCTCCATTCTGTACTGGAAAATATTAACTTGGCAGCCAAAGGGTTAAAAATTGACCTAGTGTTGATTGTAATGTACATAATACAGAGGATAAGTCACAATAACTTGGCTTAAACTAAATACCCAACCCACACATGAAAAAACAAAGAAAGAGACAATGTTTTGGTCTGTCGTGTCCATCAAGTAATGTTTTCGTATGTGTAGGTTGGGTATTAATGTACATAGTGTTTTAAAGTCTTAAGTGGTCATGGTTACCATATGTTGGGATAGTTGTAATGTTCATTTGTATTTTGTTCCTTATGCTGCTATTAAGATGACGATGACGACACTGATATTGAAGAGGAATCAGGTAGGAAAAGTAGAACATTATATTTGTTGTGGTCCATTTAAGAGACAAGAAGCTTGGTAGATCATTCTCTGAAATTATATGATGATTTTTTTCCCCATTTAGCCAACATAAGCTCAGTAGGTTAATCTGGACTTTGATGAAGTATTTATTTTATGCCAGAGCTGCTCTGACTGCCTGCTTCTATCCATATTACTAACATATGTAGTTGATTTTATCTACAGTAATAAGTAAATTAACCTTATTTCTGTTATGCTTAACATGGTAGTTAATAAATCTCAGAAGATTATTGAAATGTTCTGTTGTCCTTTAAAGTTGCCTTCACTTTACTGGCACTTCACAATCTTTTCAGCCATATTTCTAAAAAATTCAGAATGTTTTTTGTCTGTTTAATTTATAAATAAAAAATACAATTAATTATTACTTAAAACTATTTATGGACAGAGAACTATAATGAAGAGCTGGCAGACTTGACCAGTGAGATATCGATAAAGCAGAAACTCATTGAAGGGTTGGAACAGAGTCAGCGGCGCCTTGAGACCATGCGACTACAGTATGAGGATAAACTAAACGTTCTAATGAACAAAATAAGGGCAACACAGGAGGAGAGGGACAAGGTATGCTTCACAGTTAACTGGTGTATTGGGACTTCTTTTAACTGAAAAATAACTCGGAAAGATTTTCAGTCTGCACAATATAAATTTGTTATATAGTAAGCAATTAACTAATTGGATATATACTCTAATACAGGTACTTGCCAATATCAAATCAAGTAGCTCTGTTGGTGATGATAAAGTCAAGACAGTGAAACAGGAATATGAAAGAAAGATAAACAACATGCAGCATGAATTAAAGAAGTTACAAGCTGCTCAGAAAGAGCATGCAAAATTGATGAAGGAACGGTCACAGCACGAGAGGCAGCTACGCACTCTTAAGGGCGATTTAGCAGAAATGAAGAAAACCAAAGTTAGGGTAAGTGAGATATACGTCATAAATATCTTAATAGGTTTTATCTAGTATCCAGAATTTGTGTAACTGTGTCCTTTGTAAGGATTTAGAAACTAATTTTTTTTTTTATAATACAAAATAATGGGAGCCGGTGGCTGAGTGGACAGAACACTGGACGTGTGATCCTGTGGTCCCGGGTTCAGTCCCGGGCGCCGGCGAGAAACAATGGGCAGAGTTTCTTTCACCCTTATGCCCCTGTTACCTATCAGTAAATAGGTACCTGGGAGTTAGTCAGCTGTCACTGGCTACTTCCTGGGGGTGGAGGCCTGGTTGAGGACAGGGCCGCGGGGACACTAAGCCCAGAAATTATCTCAAGATAACCTCAAGATAATGGCATTCAGCTTAGGAGTTAGTTGCTAACCAGTAGTTAACAGCAATAATTGGTTTTCCCCCAGCAATTCCAGTGATTACTTGCAAGATGTAAGTTGATTGCACTGATCGTTTGTTTGATAGTGAGCAGTTATCCAATGGTGGTTTGAGGTAGACAGTCCACTGTTACCCTGCTTCATGTGAAAAGGCCATTTAAAAGTTACTAGTGGTGGTGTGCTTGTTTAACTACAGCCTGACATATGAAGTTTGTTGTTTTTTTTTTTTTTTGTCAGAGATCTTTGTCTGCAGGATGAGGTAATAATGGAAAGAATTTTACACACATCTTTGAGTATGAAAAATATTTTTCATATTTTGAAAACTTAATGGTTCAGAATTTTGTTTGGAGCCTGTTTCTGAGCTGTACCACTCAGTTGCTTCCTTAGGTAAAGTTCTCTCTATGTATGAGACTAACCAAGTCAGGGCAGGCCATTGTTTCAACCCAGAATGATGGAAATTGTGTCAGAGGTCTCCATCAGGACATGCTTGAGCCATTGAGATATTGGAGAAGATTATCCAGCTTGGATTGACCTCCAGAAGGCTGAGTGTGTATGATCCAGTCCTATGGACACAATAAAATCTAATTTTAAGGAGCATCCAAATGAGATAGCTCAGCAGGTAAATTTTTATTATATAGTAAATAATTTTTCTGACTGACACAAATCCAGATAGTTAGGAATTGTTCTTTGCAATTAATACCTAATCCATTGGATTGGGTTGCACATCACTACTGGATCATATTCCTGTGGTTACATCCACATTTTCCTTTCACCAAATTCTGTATGTACAGTACTTTACTATATACTGTAGCCCAGTTGGACCTTGGTTCACCAGACCTTGATTTATCAAATCTTTATATCACACACATTTAGATCCACATTTATACAGTGGGTTTGTCCGACTCTTGTATGGTGAAGCAAGGCTGGCATTTACTGATACATTTGTAGCTTGGTAAAGTTAAATCAGCCAAAGGCTTATGCTTGGGCTCATTATTTAAGGAAGTTTGCCACTTTCAGGGCCATTTTTGTATTGTCTTGTAAGGAGATTCAGTTACATGTATGTGGTTTGTAGAGGATGATTAGCAGCTGTACTTAGCACCACACAGGCAACTGTTGTTTACACCACACAGGAGGCTGCTGTTTACACCACACAGGAGGCTGCTGTTTACACCACACACGTGGCTGCTGTTTACACCACACAGGAGGCTGCTGTTTACACCACACAGGAGGCTGCTGTTTACACCACACACGTGGCTGCTGTTTACACCACACAGGAGGCTGCTGTTTACACCACACACGTGGTGCTGTTTACACCACACACACACGGCTGCTGTTTATACCACACAGGCAGCTGTTCTTTACACCACACAGGGAGCTAAAATTTACACCTCACAAGTGGCTTCAATTGACGACACACCGCTGTTGTTTATATTGCCTTTCTTTTCTACCCATATAAACTGCCGTTGCTTTCTCTTCAGTCCTGCAAGCTTTATCTTGCACTATAAGGAAACTATGTAGATATTTGCTACAAGACTAAAATATTAATAAATATTATTATAGGCTATAATTAATAAAATTATGTACTGTACTGCATTTTAATTAATTTCTTATCTTTGAAGCTTATGAACAAAATGAAGGATGATAACAATAGAGCTAAACAAGAACAACTCATAAAAAATAAGGAAATTGCACAGCTACGTAAGGCTTCGCGTAAACAAGAGACGTACATAAAAAGCTTGGAGGCAGAGAATAGATTGAAAAATACCGTATTGAAACGTAAAACAGAAGAGCTAGCTGTGTTAAAGAAGGCTCCAAGACATGGATTAAGCAGCAAGGCATCAGGAAGACTAAGGAAAAGTAAGTAAATTTGTATTGAAGTAATTCATATTTTAGTGATATGTTGTATTGGCTACTTATTTTTAATTCTGCTCTTCATTCTATACTGTATTTATAAGTCTTGTACCATCTTGGAACTCCATCCTTGAGACATGTGGTCGAATATAGAAATATATCTGGGCATTTAAAATTACGAAGTATTACTGACATTTGATATTTTAGCAATTTAGGGTGTACCCGGCAACACTTCCTGAAGTGAACTGTGCACGAGTGGGTCTTCACTATTCTTAGATTAAAACTATAATATTCATAATCAACACTGCATTATCTTAGTCATATATTTTTCCTGGTTATTTAATGGTTTTATTTAGCGTTTTGGAAATTGATATTCATTTATGTAATTGATACCAGATAGATTCGTACACATTTGTGATAGCACATAGATTTGGATAGGCATATTTTAGGTAACAAAGGAGTGCAAAACTATGTTCATTGCATCTAAATTTGAAGCATTAAGTGGAGTGATCAGCTATACATCAGAATGCCATAAAAGTTGTTTCTGTAATTGACTGAATTATAAGCAAAAAGTACTCCTACAGACTAAATACATGTTTTATAATGTTGTTAATAATAATTATTCACTAATGGAAAGATGTGTAAATTACAAATACTGTAGTGGTATTGCTTTTAAATGAGCAAATTACAACAAAAATCTCTGGACCAAGGGATAGTTCCCTAGACTGGAAATATGCAAATGTTACCTTTATTTTCGAAAAACACATTAAAAGTTCAGCAGAAAACTACCGTCCGATCAGGTTGACCTTTCATATCTGCAAGCATGGAAAGAATACTAAGGGAAGGAATCATTTGCAAATTCAACTATGGGTGACTAAAATTATTCTTCAACCAAGTTAACTTTCATACCAGGAATGGTTGACGGCCAAAGGACTGACAACAATGCAAACCAGACGGCGAATCTTTTATAATATTGAACAATTTGGAGGATATTGATCCAGACCATGTCTTGAAATGGTTAGATGTAACATGAATAAGGAATAACAGTTTCAAGCTCAACAAGCTACTATGCAGGATGGAAAATGGGGGGGATGCCTTTTCACCCATAGAGTAAATAACCTATGGTTACTACCTACTTGCCAAAGATGTAAATGCCAAAACGCTGCTAAATTTCAAAATCCAGCTCGACAAAATCAAGACAAATGGAGGGGGGGGGGGATTCAACAAGCTACCATCTTCCTGTCCTTGTCGAGACTACCAGAGATATAGTGGCCCCTCGGGTAAATTCAGGTAATTTAATCAATATCTTGGCATTAATTCAGGTAAATTAATGCAATTATCAATGCATTAGAGGCCTTCTTCCTGGCTTCTCTCCTTTTCCCCTCATCATTCATATTCTTTTGGATATATTTTTTATATTTTTTATGTTGTCTAATGAACTTTGTTTTTCATGAACTTGTAGCTTTAGTGGAGGTACAGTGCCTTCTGATGTTTGCCTCATATTGCTTTTTATAAATATTTTATGTATACAACATTTTATGCCAGTGAGGGTAATCAAGTCTCGCTTGTGAATTCTGTTTCACCTGGGTGTGAAAAAGTGCACCCAAGTTTTACATTCAAATACACTACAGTAATTGGTTACCCAAAATATTATATTGTTGCACCGTATCATAGAACCTATTACTGTATTAGCTTTGTTGAACTTTGTACTTTCTTTAACTCAAGTTATTCATAATTTTGTTTAGAATAAGTAAACATGATACTTTTAAATCCACTTCACTCAATTGTTTGCTTACAAGATCATATCATCTGTGCTCTTGTCTCATTTGATGCATTAGCCATTTTATTGAGTTGGTCAGAAGTTTTATCATTTATTAAACATTATTTTTGTTAAGTACAACTTTTCATCTTCTAAAACAGAAGCTGGTATTGGACTACAACACACAGCATTCTCCCCCAAGGTGGCGAAACAAAAGTGGCAGAATCTTGAACAAAGTATCAATAAAGTGGCCTACAACAAACAGACAGTCAGTAGTATGGAGCGAGACATGGAAAGGTAATGTTTTAGCAATTAAGCCAATTCAGGACTGTTAACTTTTAGGTAGAAAATTAAGCAATGTTTTTCTTGTTAGGAAAATGAACACATGCAAATTATTGGATGAAGGCGTGCAACCTAATTTTGAGATACTAGAAATGGTTTAGTTCATTAGTATAATTACTGGTGGGAGATGGTCATTGTATTAAAAATTTCAAACAAGAATACTATAGTAAAAGTGTTATATATCATTGTAATTTCTTGCAAACATATTATCATAAACGAAATCAACTGCAGTAGATACATTAGCCTTGAATTCTGAGTATACAATGCATTAAGAGTTTAATACATTGTACAGGGTACTTTATTTGCTGAAATAATGAATATTATAAACTCTTGGATATACAGTATAGTAATATAGAAAAATCAGTAGATGGTATTAAGGACCATTGAATTTTAAAAATTTCATGTAATGTTTATAAGTTCCAGTTATGTGTATTGATTGAGCAACAGAGTTCCCAAATCCCTTTCAAAAAATTTTCAGGTGGCTTCCATATTTACTTTACATTCCTACTATAAACATTAAATTGCAAACTGATTATACTCAACCATTCTACATTTTGTTTTTATCCAGGTGCTCAACTTGGGATTTCATTTCATTTTTATATGGAAATGCCACAGAAAGTAACATCCCCATTTTTTTTTGTCCTTGATTTTTTTATTCCTCAAAATTTGCAGCACTTGAGTCTTCCCAATATTACCGTCCTTTGTATGTCATCTGCAGATCTTCAGATGAAGAGGCAGATGGTTACTATGAACAAAATATAAAATTTTGCAAAGAACAAATTGCAAAGCAATCTCTGTTTTATTGTTTGGAAAATTGATAACGCATTGCACTGTGCATTTCATCATGTCGGTCTCTTAGTAGATATTTAAGAGAACATCTATATAAAGTGACCTACATGTAGTTCCAGTTAAGCTTCCTTCTATCTGTATAAACACACACATTGCTGATGCCTTATTTCCTGGGAAAACTTTTCAAAGAGAGGAAAGCCACAATTGAAAAGCCTTCAGGTAGCCCTATCAATATACTGCATAATCTTCCATCATCATTCTATTCTTTCTATGGCATTTTGGGACCTTTCCTGGATGCACTTGCCTCTTCTTTTCATCATCACTGCAAGTTAGCAGTCAAAAATAAAAGACTTGTCTTCATGAGATACAGAACTACATATGGAAGTTGCATTACAAATGTTAAAGCATGCAGTAATTTTAAGTGGTTTCCTTTTGATTATATCACTGAAAAGGATACAAGTAGGGTAAGTTACTGTAAAATAAATACATTCATCAGTAGTTGTATTTGCTACCAGTTGACTATACTGTAATAAAGTTAGGATTGTAAACAACATTATGGTGGTAGTGTTTGCTTTTGATCTCTTTACTTAACTGTATAATAGTCTTAACATAGTTCATAAGGTAAGTATATTATTTTGTGAAGTTATTTACATTTTCACTTCTGTTCAAAATTATACACGACTTTGGAACGTGACTAGAATCTAGTTGTTGATTATTCTATATAGCCAAATACATTAAAAACTGGATCAGAATTCCATGACAATTATATTACAATCTTAGAAGCAAATTTATGTATTTTGGCATGATTTTAATTCAGAATCTAGTGTATTTCATATTTACTGTAATTTTTGCTCGATTCCCAGTCCCAACAATATTTTCTCAGTATATTTGCATTTACATTAGAATTTCTTTACCTATGTGATCTGGAACTATAGTTGCTTGTGTTGTGTTCTAATGTCTTAGGCTCTGAAAAGACATTCCAGAATATTGGCTGATAGCCTTTCTGCTCTTTGTATCTGCAGTAATTACAAGCAGTTAGGTGGCCTTCAATTTGCACCAGTGTTATGACCCTGTAAAACCCACATTATTAAAAATACTGAATTAAACTTAAAGGTACAGTAAAATACTGATGATGCTCACTAATCTGGATCATATGGAACCCATTCCTCTCTGAGTTAGCCAGACTTCTGGATTAGCAGGAGTTCTTACCGGGAAGTTCCAATAATGAAAATATTCACAAATGTTTTTGTACCACATCCAACATAATTCGTATCTGCACTCACAATAAACATAGATTCACATGTTTAGGGTAGATTTGCAAAGTCAGTTTTGACTGCCAGCTGTTAAGGCTTCTTTTGGGAAGCATAAGTCTCCCGATGTCATTCAGTAACCTGGTAGAAACTCTCTGTAACCTAAATATCTGTTTGAGTTTGGGGAAGTTTGCCAGACAAAACTTGGACTCGATTTTGTTCAGATTACTGAAAGGGCTAGGTTTATCGGGGTCTGGGTAAGTGCGCTCTTACAGTACAGAAGCAGTACCTATGGCACAGTGGTAAAACACCTGGCATGGGTTCGTATTCTGGCGAGGGAGGATTTACTAGGTGCCACTCTTTAACTGTAGCCTCTGTTCACCCAGCAGTGATTGGGTACATGGTTGTTAAACAATTTGGCGGGTCATATTCTGGGGGGAAAATTAGGATTAAGGACCTGCCCAAAACACTATGCATACTAGTGGCTTTACAAAAATGTAAGAACTGTACATACTGTACTGTATAATTAAATAAATAAAAATAAAAACAGTATATGAAAAATGGCAGAAATATGGGCTACATTTCCAGAACCTCCAAAAGTTCAGATAAAAAATAAGGATTTGTTCTCCAAAAGTTCACTTTTTAACACAAATCAAAAAATATCTTTTGAACATTGCTTCATCCACTTTGTCACACGTATAGCACATAATGATGTTCAGAATGCTTACAATATAGTGAAAAATATAATGAAATTAATATACAGTAGTGAAATCAGTGAATATGGCAAGTGCAGGAGTCCAGTAAACTTATGAGAATTCAGTACATACAAGATTTAGGGTTAATTAATATTAAGTCACATTCATCTCGTGTGCTATCAAAATTTTTCCGTACATTTTGACACTTGATATACAAATGTTTACCTATGTAACACCAAACCTTGCAAATTGTAGGCCATCTATATTATAGAAATTAGCAAATTTACCTTCCTATGTTTACTTTCAGGTTCTTTATCTCGAGTGTACTCGCCTTAAAGTTTTAATTTCACTAATTAAATTGGTATATATATAGTCAAACATGTATATTTTTTTCAACATAGGTGGCTTAAAGAACGAGAGTCTCTAAGTCGGCAACTAGAGCGTGTTATGAGGAAACGTGAAAGAGCAGATCCAACAGATCGAACTGCATATAATGATTTAAATGACCAGGTGGAAGCTCTCAAAGCAAACATTGATTACATACATGAAAACATTCAAGAGTGCCAGGAGAATATAATGAGTATGGAGGAAAGTAAGGTAAGTCACTCAACTTAGTCATGAGTATGGACATATTCATGGTGAGCAGTCAGTTGAACATTGTAAAAGTGTGTCTAATATCAACTGATATATTTATAAATGTTGTACAGTACTGTACTTCTGTACCATAATTGTTTGTCATCCTACTCTCTGTGAAAGAAATGGTTGCATAACTGCTTGAATGGTAAATTGTGTATCATGTTTAGAGTTGAATTCTCTCATCTTTCTCTCTCTTAAAAATCACCCTCCATGATTCTGGTACTCTGCTCAATTCTAATGATTGATTAAATATAAAACACAAAGGCCCATTTAGCTCATCTTTACAATCTTTAAGGACTTTGGTAAATACTTTATCTGATCCTGGGACTTGTTGGGTTTTAATTTATATTTCGTTAATAACTTCTTCCCTGGTAACCATTAAACTAGTCAACATGTCCTCTTCACCACTTGCATAGATTTGGTAGATATGATTTCAAGTTCTTTAGTAAATACAGAAGCAAAGTATTTATTTAGAGTATAGGAGAGGATGACTCTATTGAAAGAAGGATAGTTGGTTAAATTTATTGCCAATGGTATAGAGGGAAGTGTTAAGAGGAGATGTATTAACAAGTCAGTGGGGAATGGAACCAGTAGGTAGTGATGTAGAGGTAAAGTCCATCTTCATTTACAAACTAAACAAAATCAGCAGAAGAGAGATGACAAGGCAGAATGAAGGCAGATTACAAAACAGTTAGATCCTCCACAAAGTAGAAGCTTATAATGCAGCAAGCGAGGCTAAAAATTGTTGTAGTATTGGGCAATTCAAGATCAACATTCATCGACTTGTGAAGGACATATTTAGTACCATTACTACAGTGAAGTATATCTGCAAATATGTTGTGCATGAGGCACAAATCAGTAACTCAGACATGTGAAGAGAAGAAAGGAAGTAAGTAAAGGAAGTTAGACAATAAAGGTATGCAGAAAAATAATGTGGGGTGGAATTAACAGGTCTACCTCCTCTCTTCCTATAGCAGCCGTGGCTTATTACACCAGGCTAAACTCATTATATTTCTTGTACTGTACTATACTTATTATATTTCTTGTATTCGTTAAAGCGCACTCTAAATATTTCATCACTTGTATGCATTATACCATTTTGTTCATATATGCCATTATCGAGTTACCTCTTTCGTTGGCTACGATTAAAACATATCTACTGTAGACATTTATTTCTGATTGTGAATATTCAATGTATCTGTCACTTCAGTATTTGTGGACAATTGTACTGCTCCCAGATGAGTCTTTGTTTATTAAGAAAACTTGTAATGAGAATATTGGTAGGAGACAGTAGTCTGTTCCTTAACTGATGTGATGCAATTTGTCCATACTCTGTCTAGATATTCTTGTTTATAATCTGAATACATTTTCTTGTTAATATAGTTTGTTGGATTAAAATGTTAAAATTTCTTGCTGGATTTGACCTTGCTCTACCATTTTGTAATGTTTCAATAGGAGCAGTCAGAACTGCTTCATACAGACACTATGACTGCTGGATTAGGTACAGAAGAATCTCACTACCTCATTAACAAGCTGATCAGCATGACGGTTAACCAAGCTACTATTGCAGCACAGAGGCAAGCAGCAATATCAGAACTGGAAGGCAAAATGAAACAAGTGAGTACACTGTAGTCTTAAATATTAAAAATAATATCTTTATTTTAATGGAATTAATCCGTAATACGTATAGAAAGACTTGCACCATTATTGCTGCACTGAGAATGATGTTTGTTGCTTGGTCAGTCAGGTTAGGTACCATTAGATCTTGAGAGTATCTGGATGGGTGACCACATGGATAAAACCTCACTCTTAGTTATGTGTATCTAACAGAGTATTCGCATATGCAGTAGCTTTATATATACAGTATACAGGAGTCCCAGTATACATGAGTTGCACATGGATATCATTCTTAAAAAACAGTGATGATAATTTAGATTTATAAAATTGGAGCTAATGATATAGGAAAAAATAGGGTTGAATTTCAGAGATGTCCCAAAGCTCACATTTTGTCACTTAATATAATGCCTATCTGAATATTATTACTCGGTATTCCAGCCACTTTTTGATCACAGATACAATTCATAATGTGCAAAATACTACAGAGATGCTATGATGCAAAAATATAAGTGTCCAATTCCACACACAGTGTGGACAACCTGTATATATATCCAGGAAGGGAGGCTAGTTCACCCATGAAATATATTTAGTTCTCTGGAAGTCAGTTTTAAATGGCAAATTCAGAGAACACTGTCTGAACATCAGAGGTCCACAGGTGTTCAACACCCTACCAGCAAGCATTAGAAATATTGCTGGAACAAAGGTGGATGTGTTCAAGAGGCACTTATATAGGTTCTTGCAAGAAGTGTCGGACCAACCAGGTGGTTGGTTGGTCCATAAGTGTATATAAGAACCTATATAAGTGGGAGGCTGGTTGGGAACTAGCCTCCCTTCCGACACTTCAACCACTTCAGTGGTTGGTGTAGACTGCACTCTGTAGTGGATATGTGAGCCTGCGGGCCGTTCCAAGCAACAGCCTGTTGGACCAAGTTATTATAAGTCAAGCCTGTCTTCAGGCTGGGCTCGAGGAGTAGAAGAACTCCCAGAACCCTCTCCAGGTATGCTCCAGGAAGATTAAGTAGGGTCACTGTCGAAACCTGAAGGTGAAAATGGCCGAGCATCCAATATGAGTGCTAAGTCAGTAGGGATGATCATCAATAAAAAACACATTGCTTGGTACCATGTAAAATGGCACCATGCACAACCCAATACATTTCTAAATTAAGTTCTGTGGCTGAAACACTTGAAAGAACAAATGACGTAGAATCTAGGAGGGGGGAGTGGGGTCCCAGAAAACTACACCCTAAAGCAAGTTTTAAAAAGACCTCTGGTTACTAGACATTTTGTTCTCATCATGCACTTACATAATGTTGTCAGCTACAGACTAGAAAAGGCGAAGGCTGAATACAAGGAAAAAAATTAAAAAAAAGTCACATAAAACTTGACATGCAAAACCCATAAAAATAATCAGTTCACTAATGCACACAATGATGGTACAACTGAATTAGTTCTTGAATGTTTGTGAGCAGCCTAAATTAATAGGCTCAGGACCAAGTCCTTAAAGGTTCATGGTAAGGAAGAGCCAACTTTATACAAGAATGATAAACCCAGCTAAACACAATCCTTATCTAACACAAGAAAACTCTGCCTGTATCAGCTTTGTAAAGCTCAAGACATGCAGACAGTGAAATCTTAAAAGAAGCATTCACAGCTCAAGAAAATGTCTCTGGGTGAATGAAGTCACTTAAGTAGAGGTTTGTTACCAACAAAAAAGGAGTTACGTATGGGAAACTTCTGAAGAAAGGGAGTTGGGAACAATGGCTGGCCTTATGTACATGACCAGTATTGCCACTCAAATAGCAGATGGTAGTTAGCATTAGCAAAGCAATACCAGGTGACCTCTTTGATTCTAAGTATTGCTTGGAGGTAGTATTTAAGCATGGAGCTGTGTACCTTATGATGGTCATTCAGTGACAAATTATAAATTCTTAAGACATTTGCTTTCCTCTTGCATAACTCTGTGGATACACTCTGAACGGGACTTCTACTGTATCAGAAACGAAAAGTTGCATTAACTCAAGCTGGAGTACTTAGTGTCTCTTAGGAAGCCGGGATGTTACCTAAGAAAGAGACAGACTAATCCAAGTTAAAAAAAAAATGATTGGTGTAAGATGAATTGGTTTCACGAATCTAATATTGTCAAAACAAATTAAAAATAAACCAAGCATGCAAACAACTCATTTCAAATAGACATTCACAACTCATAAGAGTGGTTGTGGTCTCATGACCATAACCAACTCAAAGGGGTGGTTGTGGTCTCATGACCATAACCAGCTTCTTGAAGGGTGATTGTTCCTGAGATGAACAAAGTGTCAGAGATAGTGATAGTAACCTCAGTTATAATTTATAGAACAAGTGGGAGTTGTTATTGTCATATTGTCACATACAGTACATTTTGTTTTTTTAGATAAAATAATTAACTCATCAGTAAAGTTTTAACCTATGAAATAGCTTCTTCAAGCAGTTTCATTGGACAGTTATATTACTTGTTTATTATGGAGCTAGACATATAGATAAATATTGGGTGTGCCTGGAGTGGTCTCCAAAAATAAAGTTTATTGCAGATGTTGAAACCATCTGTCAGGGTAGATGACAGTAATAAGGTGTGTTATATAGTTTTACTCATAAAAATTCATCTCAAATTTTAGGGACTTCCTAAAGTTGTTTTTGTCACAAAAATGTATTTATATGGAGTACTGCACAATAAGCTGTTTAAACAGATTACCTTTCTTAATTAAGTTGATTTCAACATACAAAATGCTATTGTTAACCACTGCACTGTGCAAAGCACCTGTATTTGCTCGATGGGTGGTGTGCAACGTGCCTCAGGGATCATATAGGTATAGCGTATGATTCAAAACTCCTGTCGCTACATGGGGTTCATATCAGCTTTCTCAGGGCTCTTGTAAACAGACGCCATTTAAAAAAAAATCATGGGCAACATTCCCGGGTGTGAGAGCCTCAGTACTGAGTGAGCAACCAAGGCTGGCGCATGCAGCATGAACTCACAGCACTGCTGTTCAGCTTGTGACCACAGCATCACCTAATAATGTCAAAATATTTAAGTAACTGGTATTATTTATCCATGATAGTATTACAGAAGTGCCTGAGTGTAATAATGACTGTGTACAATGTTCAAATATCAGTGAATCAATGCTGTTCATGATGTTCACACCGTTAGCCACAGCACCACAGCATTATTTCGTCCATCTAGGAATCTTCAAATGACTTCTTATGTTCCTTTACAAAATAAACTTGTGATCAATTATTCATTTACAGGATTTAGTGACCAGGATTGTGATAATAGAAGGATTGTGGTGATAATTAGCGCTGTGCGTTGTATAGGGGTGGGAGGAGGAATTTTGGTGAGGGAGGGAGGGAATCGAGGTAGCGTCACTGTGTTTGGCAGCCACTCTTGTTTGGGCTCACCATACAAGCTTAGTGGTTTGCTTTGGTGAACACAAATGTAGATACTGTACTTATATATAATGGGTGCATATAGTGTAATAACAGCAACAGAAGTATGATGGGAGGAACCATTTTGGTGGGGAAGGTTGCATCCTACTCATAGCGGCATCGTCTGCTGTGTGATTTGTCATGCAGTGTGACTTGTCATGCAGTGTATGGTGGTCACTGTTCTGTTTGGACACAATACCAGCTTAGTTGTATAGTTATGGTGAATACAACATGCAGATACTTATACATAACGTGTGTAAATAGTGTAATAAAAGCAATAACAGTATGGTGGGAGGAGGAATGCTGGCGAGTAAGGTGTTGGAGGAGTAAGGGAGGGCTGGCTGGATGTGGCAGCTTACTCTTGCTTTTTGGGCTCACCACACCAACTTAGTAGTTCATTATGATGAACACATATGTAGAGGGGTATATACAATGTGTGTGTATATAGTGTAATAACAGCAAAAACACTGTTTGATGGATCGTAGAATATAATATATATGTCACATATATGAACCCCATAATTTTGAGCATAGCGATGTTCCACATTTTTAACTATATAAATTCCACAAATTACACACTTTTCAATAATATAAGAGCAAAAACTGAGAAGAAACATCAAAATAATTGTGAAACATTAAATTCGCTGTAACTGCCGCCCCACGGGGTGATGGAGCTGACTGACCCCGAGTGCTCCATCACTCAGTGCCCATAATTTGCCCAACTTCACGGCTAAAGTATGTCACATGCAATATTTTTAGTTTACCATGATCAGAGACTGTATTTTAATAATACCAGTATTAGAAGAAAAAAATTTTTTTGCCAAGAATTTATTTCCTGCGCACAAGGGGGGTGCCATATTTGGAGCCCGAGCAGCACAGTGGTTAATTAACTTTAATTTACCTTGCAAAATCTTTGCTGATAAGAATTTGTAAATTGTAAACATTATTTTGAATACAAAACAGATGGAACAAACTACAAGTGTTCAAGAGCAGCTCTTAGCACATGTGCTCGGTGACAAGGATCTTGAGGTGTACAGTTTAATGTCATCACTTGTGGCGGCAGAGGACAACACACCAGCATCCACAGAGTCATCTCGATCAAATTCTCCAACAGATGGGTAAGAAACTTGTATCTAAAAAGTGCTTAAATATTAAGGCTTTACAGATAATTAAGAATATACAGTATTGGCTTAAAATTCAATTAGCATTTAGTTACCCAAACATAATTAGATTATTAGAATATTTTTAACTGGAGGAAGAATAGGTATGAATTACTTAAAAGATACTGCACTCTCCACGATGCAAAAAATATTTTAAAGTTATGCTGTGTTTTTATGCAAGTTTTAGTAAACCAATTTTCTTTGCTACTCCAATAAAAGCACAGTTAAAAAGGATGTAAACTTGGGTACCATTTCATTCATTAACTATTCTTTGGCTATACTCACATTTCTCTTCTACTAGATTGTCTGCTTCATTGTATCCACCTCTACATCACCCTGCTCTATTATATCCACCTTTACATCACCTTGCTCTATTGTATCCACCTTTACATCATCTTGCTCTATTGTATCCACCTTTACATCATCTTGCTCTATTGTATCCACCTTTACATCACCTTGCTCTATTGTATCCACCTTTACATCACCCTGCTCTATTGTATCCACCTTTACTTCACCTTGCTCTATTGTATTCACCTTTACATCACCTTGCTCTATTGTATCCACCTTTACATCACCTTGCTCTGTTGTATCCAGCTACATATATCACTCTGCTCTATTGTATCCATCTCTACATCACTGTGCTCTATTGTATCCAGCTTTACACTACCTTGCTCTATTGTATCCACGTTTACATCACCCTGCTTTATTGTATCCACCTTTACATCACCCTGCTTTATTGTATCCACCTTTACTTCACCTTGCTCTTTTGTATCCAGCTATATATATCACTCTGCTCTATTGTATCCAGCTTTACATCACCTTGCTCTGTTGTATCCAGCTATATATATATCACTGCTCTATTGTATCCAGCTTTATATCACTCTGCTCTATTGTATCCACCTGTACCTCACACTAATGGTTATTCAAATTAGTTATTTTTTTCCTTTTGCCTTCACATCTCATGTTTCTTTATCTGCATTTTCACAGACAATTTATTTTCACGTATTGTTATATAGAACTAAGTTAATGGGTACATGTGTATTTAACACATAAGACTGAAGTATTAAGGGGAGATTCTTCATGTGGCCTTCCCCCTCAAGAGGAGTGGAGTTCTCGGAGGAAACAAGACATCAGTAATACTAATATATACTGTACAGTATATGTATATATGTATGTGTTCGTGTGTAAAAATAAATATATAAATATATATATATATATATATATATATATATATATATATATATATATATATATATATATATATATATATATATATATATATATATATATATATATATATATATATATATATATATATATATATATATATATATATATATATATATATATATATATATTTTATTACACACACATACAGTATAGACTGTGATTTTCATACTGCCTAACAAATTTAGTTTTAGATTTTGACTTAAGGATGAATATTTATAATATGCTGCATAATACTAGAATATTATTAATATTTATCCTATTGTCATTATATAAATTTTTTTGTTTTAGATATAAACTGCTAATGGTTATTGTAAGGAAGATCTTGAAAATGTAGTTATGCTCTACAGTGAATTATCTGGCAGAAATCAAATTGAATCAGTTTACAGAACAAACTAACATGTACCAATATAGCTTTTGATTTTGAAAGGGTTTTACAAAACCTGTTTATGTGTGCCATAAGTAGTGTGGGAATCCTGATTTGATGGGCAAAATCTAGACAGTGTTCTGTAGCTTTCAGTAGCAGTACAGTGTATGACCCCAGACCCCCATTCCTTCATTCCTGATAAACCTTACTCCACTCTTTGATTTTAATTTTATTTTCATTTTGTTTACTTTTTGTATGCTTCTAGCCATTTCCCTCCACTTGAAGAGCTTTTAGATGAAAATACCTGCCTGTTACTCATCTCACTTGCTATAGTGCATATGATAGATGTTTTAGTGGAAGAACTTATTGCATTAGTGATATCTATAGTTTCCTGATATATAGAGTAGCGTGCAGATTGGGTCACCACAAGGTATTGGTGAAAGGCACGTGTGAAAAAGGCTAACAGCAGGTTATATTATAAACTATGCTGAAGAGAGCATGCATGAAGCATGCTATAGTCAAAGGGTGACAGCTCTGATAAAAATGAGTGTGATAGCCATGACTTGAAAATACAGGGGCTACTTGCAACCCTACACCTTTTCCATCAACTACTGCATTTGCAAATTTAAAATTGGGAGAGAATTCTAGTAATAGTGGCGTCAGCATGTTTAGTGATGAAGACTCTTCTATCTCTCCCTCTTCCATTTTCTCTCCCTCACCCATCCCACTTCCCTTCCAACAACCTTGATCCAAAACCTGCATGCATTGTATTGTTACTGCTATTTATTCCTTATTTATCCTTGTGGTGCATGTCTTACATGTTACCTATTCCTTATCTGGATTAACCATTATCTGTGCCAAATTCTCGATCCTTACTGTTTGTGCAATTCTTCTAACCCCTCTAAACTGTAACACCATGCATGTGGCTTCACTTTAAAATTGTTTAATTTGTATCTTGTTCCTTTTATAACTTCCATGGTCTGTATTCCTTGGTTTGTCTTTTGTAATGTAATTTTTCTGTGCCACCTGTTTTTTTTTGCTGTTCTTTTCCTTATGTCCTATCCCTATCCTTGCCCTTCCTCCTTCCCCTACCCCTCACAGCCTGATGGAATCATCTGCCACTTCGCTAGTCTTCTCCTCCGATTCCTTAAAAAGGCGGGACAAAGCGCGGCGCAAAACTGCCACCACAGAGGATATGTTATTCACCAATGGCTCAGAGAAGAATGGGAATGCAAGTGGCACCGACGTCAGCGCGAACACCACACCAGCAGGAACCATTGTTGGCGCAATGCCTATTGTGTCACTGGAACGATTAGCTGTGGAGCGTGTTAGTTCAGATCGATCGATCCCAGATCGAATGTCTTCAAGTTTGGGAATGGATCGTATGGCAACCAGTTTGGAAGGAGTTTTAAGTGACGATGGTCTGCTAATGCCTCCACCGTCTGGCAGTCAGAGAGCTGTACCTAGAGTAACATCAGCTCCAAATGCTCTTAAGTAAGTTCAGTTCCTAGATTTCTTATACAAATCTTCTTGGTACTTTGCTTGTCATGTATGGAAAGTTTTTAGTTGGTACTAATATACTGGTTGGAAATAATGTAATTTTGTTAATCATTAACAGATATGCTTAGTTTTTTATTTAGTTATCAAATACAAATCTGTATTCAGAAATATTTTGAATTGAAAAATTGGGCCCTTAAAGAGACTTAGATATGTTTAATGTTAATTTATTACAGTATTTTAAATTTAAAGCTGATGCTCTTGTTACTGAAGTTAATGAATAATTCATCATCTCTCCCTTTTTGAGAAGAGAGTATCTGAGACTATAAATTCATACTATGCATATCATTTTTGTTTTCTGATAGCATTTAGTTTTGGTTTTGTGACTGTGAAAGCTATATTTTAATTAATATATTACTTAAAAATAAAAATATTAATTACGTAGTTTTCAGTGTTACATTGAGCTTGTTTTTTGTTTTTAGCTTTTATTTTACTTACATTTTTCTTATTTGTTAGAAATATCTGTTCATGTCCACAAATGCAGTTGTGCTACAATGCATTTCTGCATAATATTGGGTCAAGCCAGCATCACAGTGCCAATCTGTAATCACATGCAACAAAATCATTCAATTACATCACACTGAGTGAGATGAAATAAATTGGAAATTGAGCTTCACTGTCCAAAACTAAAGATTAATTAAATTAACCCGGAGACTAACCAGCAGCAGAATAGCGGAGTGTACACTAACCTCTGGCTCGGCTTGGGCTGGCTTGGCTTACAGGAATCTGATGTCCAATCGACCTGACAAAGCATCACCAATTCTTAGTCGCAAGTCATATGATCGACAAGAATCCACTTCTCCCCGACTGGGTAGAAGGTCCCTCACTTCTCTTAGCACCTCAAATCTAAATTATTCACGACAAAATTCTGCGTGAGTAGCGACATTGTTACACTGATTTTTATCCGTGTGGTTTCGCACAAAATATAGGCTTCTAAGTGTATTTTTGTTAATTATAATGATAAATATAATGTTCAATACATTTGAGTTATACCTGACTACTCTTTTTAAATCATCACTTGGCATGGTTTCAATACAGAGCACCAAAATTATTATAATAATTATTATAATAATTAGAAATAATTATTATTCTAATTATTTATTGTATCTATAGAACAAAACACATCGAGAAGAGACAGCATGTCGGTTTACCAGTTGGTCTTGGTGGCCCCTTGACACACTAACATTAGGGAAATAAACTGGATCTGGTTACCCCTATACACCAGTCATGGTCCTTTTCTTTGGCTACACAAAATTGAAGTGCTATTTGGTCTGCTCAATTTTCATTATTCCTGCATTTCTTTTTTTTTTCATTAATAATTTTTCCATTGTTTTATCTTAAGTACTTCCTTAATTATTCCTTCTTGCATTGCAGTGCAAGCAAGCTGAACTTCATCTTTATGATAGCCATACCAAAATGTAAAATTGATTGATAGATTGAGATGCTTGTTCACGAGTCATTTTAACACAAGAAGGACTTGAAATACTTGGGAAAGATTTTGTATTGGCCATCTACTAAAGAATAAGAGTTTCTATAAGGATGAAGTCATCAAATTGTTGTCATAAACATTTGTCTTTTATAGCTATATTTCTAACTCCCTTTCCATAAAAATGGAGTAGACCAAACAAAGATGCATATTATTTTTCAATTTTGTGTATTAGTTGGGGGACAGGAAACTTTTGTGTGTTTGTGTATGTATGTATGTATGTATATGTGTGTATATATATATATATATATATATATATATATATATATATATATATATATATATATATATATATATATATATATATATATATATATATATATATATATATATATATATATATGTCGTACCTAGTAGCCAGAACGCACTTCTCTGCCTACTATTCAAGGCCCGATTTGCCTAATAAGCCAAGTTTTCATGAATTAATTGTTTTTCGGCTACCTAACCTACCTAACCTAACCTAACCTAACTTTTTCAGCTACCTAAACTAACCTAACCAATAAAGATAGGTTAGGTTAGGTTAGGTAGGGTTGGTTAGGTTCGGTCATATATCTTTGTTAATTTTAACTCCAATAAATAAAAATTGACCTCATACATAATGAAATGGGTAGCTTTATCATTTCATAAGAAAAAAATTATAGAAAATATATTAATTCCGGAAAACTTGGCTTATTAGGCAAATCGGGCCTTGCATAGTAGGCTGAGAAGTGCGTTCTGGCTACTAGGTACGACATATATATATATATATATATATATATATATATATATATATATATATATATATATATAATGTATGTATGTATGTATGTATGTCGTACCTAATAGCCAGAACGCACTTGTCAGCCTACTATGCAAGGCCCGATTTGCCTAATAAGCCAAGTTTTCCTGAATTATTTTATTTTCTCTATTTTTTTTCTTATGAAGTGATAAATCTACCCATTTCATAATGTATGAGGTCAATTTTTTTTTATTGGAGTTTAAATTAACGTAGATATATGACCAAACCTAACCAACCCTACCTAACCTAACCTAACCTATCTTTATAGGTTAGGTTAGGTAGCCAAAAAAGTTAGGTTAGGTAGGTTAGGTAGTCGAAAAACAATTAATTCATGAAAACTTGGCTTATTAGTCAAATTGGGCCTTGCATAGTAGGCTGATAAGTGAGTTCTGGCTACTAGGTACGACATATATATATATATATATATATATATATATATATATATATATATATATATACACACACACACACACACACACACACACACACACACACACACACACACACACACACACATACATACATACATACATACATACACATACATACATACACATACATACATACACATACATACATACATACTGACCGAAAAGGTAAGATTAATAATTCTAACACGAATTTTCTCAATATTTCTTATGTTTTTCTTCACTGTCGGTGTTAATAAAAATATCAATTCTCCAAAATTAATTTTTTGTCTGACGCCTGAATGCGTTTCATACTGCTTATTACATTTTCAAAGACTTAGTTTACACATAGATTCATCGAACTTATACTCATTTTGGGTGAGGTGATATGGTACAAAGTTTTGGGTGAGGTGAACAAACTTATGACGAACACAAGACAGAACATGGAACAATGGGTATAAATTGGATATGAGAACTGCAGAAGGCCTATTGGCTCATACTTCCTCTTGCTGCTTCCATATTGGTTCGGGGTCTTGAAGTGGGTAGAATATAGTTGTGCATTAATTGGCTGTTGATTGCTGGTGTTGACTTTTTGATGTGTTATGCCTCACTGATATCGAGTCGCCTGCTATCTCTGTACCTATCGATGATTTCTGTGTTGTTTGTTATGATATCTCTTGTGATGGTTTGGTTGTGAGAAGAGATTATATGTTCCTAGATGGAGCCCTGTTGCTTATGCATTGTTAATCGCCTGGAAAGAGACGTTGTTGTCTTGCCTATATACCGAGTTCTTTGGAGCTTACAGTCCCCAAGTGGGCATTTAAAGGCATAGACGACGTTGGTCTCCTTTAAGGCGTTCTGCTTGGTATCTGGAAAGTTTTTCATGAGTAGATAGGCTGTTTTTTTGGTTTTATAATAAATTGTCAACTGTATTTTCTGATTTTTGTCTGTAGGGATAACGTTCCTATCAACATTATCTTTCAGGACCCTTTCCACTGTTTTATGTACGTGGGTTGGACATGTATATGAGTGGGATTGGGTGGTTATAAATAGGAGCTGCCTTGTATGGGCCAATAGGCCTTCTGCAGTTACCTTTATTATTTTGTTCTTATGTTCTTATGAGCCGTTGAAAAGAAGTTCCTGTAAAATTGTTTAATAGGGGGTACAAGTGTTGTGTTGGTTGACTCTTCAGAGGTCGCATGGCATTTCACCTTTCTATTTATGATGTCTTCAACGAAACCGTTAGAGAAGCCGTTGTTGACTAGGACCTGCCTTACCCTACAGAGTTCTTCATCGACTTGCTTCCAATCTGAGCTGTGGCTGAGAGCACGGTCGACGTAAGCATTGACAAACACTCCTCTTGTACCTGTCTGGGCAGTCACTCTTGGCAATGAGGCACATTCCTATGTTGGTTTCCTTAGTGTAGAGTTGGTTTTCTACACTAAGGAAACCAAGCCCACAGTGGTTAGCACACAGTGTATTCATGTTCACATTAATCACTATTTAATTAAGGTAAACTGTGCCTTCTGCTCATTAATCAGAATTTAAACAATGGGAAATATTAGATTCCTGAGCTGAATTAACTAGGTTGCCTCTAAGGCAAGTCCCTGTTGTTACAAGGGCCAGAACACTGCACAGTTAGCAGTACAGTATATCAACATTATCATACAGGCCTAACAGGGATTTTTTCACATTTTCCTTTTTGGGTTATACTTGTGCAAGGGAGGACTAGAGAAATCTGAATTCCAAGAGTGAGCTCAAAATGCCTTGTTCAACTACTCAAAAAACTTTCCAAGCTCTATTTTACATCAGAGATCTCCAAGGAGCTATGTTAATTGCAAGTTGGTTTACCTTTCTGCTACACCCAATTGCCACTGGTTTTAGCATCTGCACGTGTTGACAATATTCTCAGATTCGGCTCCCTAACATTTTTTCTGATAGTTCCCGTATGCATTTTAGGCTGGCAGAGGCCAAAATAATTGAGTTCAGTAATTTTGTTTTGTTACTTATAAATTGCCTTGTGCAGTGATTCTATTTTCTGGTGTGCATATGCAGTTATGTCTGGATTATGTAACAATGATAGTGTTACCTTTTATGTGCTGGTTTGGTTAGTGTCTCACCAGTGGTTATTCTCCTATTGAGTATTATATTTCATATATATGCATTATTATATTTGTATGATTCTTTTGGTCTTTGTCCAAGAGTAAGTGTATGCTGGATATGCATATAAGAGTGTGTTTAGTTGCCATGTCACCTGTGTGTGAATATGCAGTTTGCTTTCACTTGAATGTGTTGTTCATGGCTATTTATATTGTTTTACTTGTTTAGGCCATTACCTATTTTTATTTTTGTTATGAATACAGGTTTAGGTTAGGCTACACTTAAAATATATTGCATGAATAATGGTTGATCCATCATATGTCTCAAGTTTATTTAATTTTTTTATCCCTCTTATTGCATATAAGTATTTCCTTACATTTCTTTTGTCACGTGTATTTCCAATTTCCACCTGTAACCCCATGTTCTGTTGTCTCACTGGGAGAAGACTTCATTAACTTTGTCTATTCACTACACTATCTTGTACATTGTGTTCATATTGCATCTAATGTGACATGGTGAATGCATCATGGTGAATGTGACAATGGTGTCAAAGCCAAGTCCTTCCTCCGTTCTTTATCCTTTGTGATTGCAGAACAGTTTTCAAGGGTGTTAGAGGTTCAATAGTGGGAGCTTCAACCTTTCCCCCCCATTCCCTGCTGCCACCACCTCCTTCTGTTTCTCAAGTTGTGGTGTAATTTTGGGGTTCTTCCTTAGTCCTTTTCTTGGGGACAGGAATCCAGGTATTTGGGGTTGCTGAAAGCTGAGCAGTGAGTGTCATCTGACACAATTTAGGCATTTGTCTTAAAATGTGTAGAGCTGTTTCTTCAGATTGATATCATTTATTATCTTCCATCCCAGTTTGAGCTGGATGTTGCCTTCAAATACCAGAAGTTGCATTTATGAGTGTGTTCATGGTCTGGATCACAGCCACTTTTTGTATGTTACCAGGTGCAAGGTTCCTTCTGATTCCAACCTGTTATTTTGGCTGCAGTCTGCTCCTTTGGTATATCCCGAAGCTTTCTGGCCTGTGCTGGCATTTTGTCGTACATTGGTACCTCCGTTTTCGAATTTAACCCGTTCCCAGAGATGGTTCAACACCCAAAAATGGAAAACTAAAACTAATTTTCTCATAAGAAATAATGTAAATTGAATTAATCCTTTCCACATCCCGGTCGTTCCACATCACAGCCTGAGAGCCGGTCGGCCGAGCGGACAGCACGCTGGACTTGTGATCCTGTGGTCCTGAGTTCGATCCCAGGCGCCGGTGGGCAGAGTTTCTTTCACCCTATGCCCCTGTTACCTAGCAGTAAAATAGGTACCTGGGTGTCAGTCAGTTGTCACGGGCTGCTTCCTAGGGGTGGAGGCCTGGTCGAGGACCGGGCCGCAGGGACACTAAAGCCCCGAAATCACCAAGATAACATCCCCAAAAATATTAACTTAATTTTTTTTTTTCATACATACTACTACTTATACACTGTATTGTACTACAGTATGTACAAGTATATCTTACCTTTATTGAGGACTCTTGTTGGTATGTGGAAGACTGAGGAATGTAGGAGGAGGAGAGGTGTTAGTGTTTGGAAGGGGAGTCCCCTTCCATTATAACAGCAGTGAAGACATTTCTGGGGTACTCTCATACATTTTGCAAACATACCATAAGGACCTGGTTGTGGCTCACTGCTTGCTTGTCTTACTAAGAATCTGTTTATAGACACTCATTTTTCCCTACGTTTTAACACTTTGCCTGTAGTGAGACATTACATAATCTCGCTATGAATGTGAGATCTTTTTGTTTTTCCTCTTTCATCATTCGCTCAACTATTTTCTTAGGTTGAACTTTACCACTGACTTTCTTGGAGCCCATGGCATGATATATACAGTACAGTAATAAGAACTTTTATGTTCAGAAACCAAAAAAGCTCAAAAACAATGAAATTCTTCAAAAAGAATTGAAGCACTGCCGTCACTAGGTGGGAGATGCTGGTAAACTGAAGCACGCCATGCACTTGATCGGCCCATACGTGTATCAACAAACTCTAGCACCGAGGCAAACCTCGAGTACCAAGTCAAATTTCTGAAAGAAATTGAGCTCAAGAACCCAAAAATTTGAAAACGGGCATTCAAAAACTGAGGTTCCACTGTACTTTGTGACTTTCAGATGACCATCTTTTTTTTTTTTTTTGATAGGGGTCTAGGTATCTGGGACCAGATTCATGAAAGCACTTACGCAAGCAAGTCGAACATGTACATCTTTCCTCAATCTTTGACGGCTTTGTTTACATTTATTAAACAGTTTACAAGCATGAAAACTTCCCATTCGACTGTTGTTATTGTTATAAACAGCCTCCTGGTGCTTCGGAGCTCATTAACGGTTTAATAATTGGAAACAAAGCCGTCAAAGATTGAGAAAAGATGAACAGGTTCGTAAGTGTTTGCGTAAGTGCTTTCGTGAATCTGACCCCTGGTTATTTTGGGACTCTTTGGACATAAAGTAGTTTTTTTTTTTTCCAGTGCTCCATCTGGTACCATTCTGGAATACAGGCAAGTTCTGCCTGTATTTGTTGTTACCTTCTGGGGTTATTCTTGTTTAAAATCAAGTGGAACAACTCTGAGATAAGACTAATTGTAGATAGAATGCTCTCTCCTGACCAAGGCAATTGATTGTTTCCATTTCATTCCCCCAGTCTCTGCATCCCCTGTGTTTTATATGGGTTCTAATGAGGCAGAATATAAGGTGGGCAGAGTCTTCAGTACATTGTTGACATGATGATGGTTTGGGGGCAAGTGCTGGGCAGGCCAACAAGTGATTACCAGAACCCTTCTTAGAGATCTCTTTGATGCTGAGTAGCACTTGAAAGGAACTTGAATGTAGGTAAATGAACTTTTGCAAGGTAAAGTGTTGGATTGAGAATTCTCCAGTGACAGTTTGGCAGTAAAATTAATCAAAATCTTGGTGACTAAAAAAATTGATGAAAGTAGAGAATGCTATAAGGTTGGCACGATGCCTTTCAAAATTTCAGGAACCAGATTTGACTGTAGATTCCTGTCAGTGATGTGTTCATATAATTGTGGACACAGCAGAACCATGATCTTGACAAATTATTCTGTGTGTTTTACGAAAATAGTAAAGAGTTAAATAATAAAATATTTATTCTAATTACATTTTCGGCATGGACATTGGCAGTGAGGATTATTTATTAGTCACTTCACCGAAATGTAATATTCAATTTCAATAATGTCATTCAGGTTTTATTTTATGGATTTTACATATTAAATTGTATATAAATTTCAATTTTGTAGTACAGTACTGTATGATAATCAGAGCTAATGAAGTAGTGTAGTAGGTGAATATGAAAAGTGAAATTAAATCACACATTTAGTCATTTTTTTTTTTTACATAAACATTAGCAAACTATTGTACTGGAAGTTGTCATAGTATTGTGTGCACTTGTAAAATTTAAAAATTTAGTTTACGTTGGCCATTTTCAATCATTATTTGCAGTTCAGAATTATATTTTTAATAACAATGTTTACTTTAAACAGAGACAACAATCCAGAAATGACCCCACCAACTTCTCCAACCACATATCGACGTTCCACGTCTAGGGAAGAAAATGTTTTCTCTCGCTTAACCTCGGCCACATCATCAACACGAGAGTCTCGGCCAAACACAGGTGTCATTAATCCTCATGCTGGAAGGGTACGTGCATATCAATATTTTGTAGAAAATCAATCTATAAAATTTAAGAGGCAACATTAACACTTTCGCTCACCCCGCACGCCACCCCTCGACAGGGCGATATGGGCCCCAGCGTGTCACGGAAGCGCGCGATAATTCCAAAAAGTGTATACTCTCCAACTTTGTCACCTCAATTCTCCTTCTACGAGATTAAATTTGGTATCATTGTGTTCGCAATAAAATTCTCTACAGCACTAAATGCATATAAACTCCAAAAGCCCGGCTAATTACCCGCAGCAAACAGAGAAAGTGCGAACGAGTTACCCGGGAGCGCGCAAACGGGATAAAATGTTTTCACTATTTTCACTCTGGTCACCTCAATGTTTGTCCTAGGTCTTTCATTTTGGTCTCAATGGGTTCGTAATAAAATTCTCTAGAGGACCATTAGCATATAAAAAAAAAAAACCTGGTCACACTCCAACCGCCGACGAGTTGAAGACGGGCCACGCGTTAGCCGTGAGTGAGTGCTCAAAGGGTCTTCCTGCTACACTCCCAATTCCCTCCCTTTTCAAGCCTTTCTTTCGCAATTTTCTTCCTGGAAGGGCCTTGTTCATGATTACTATCCATCGTGGAGTAAGCGTAGATAGTTTCTAAAGCCACAGTAAGAAATATAGCCACGGGAAATAGCCGAAATGTTCACACGTTTGAGATGCGAGGGGAGGCGACATTGGTCACAAAAGTGGAGCAAAGACAATGGGCCCACGGCGTGTGCCGAGCCGCCTGAGGGCCACGAGGCTCAACAAAGAAAATGGGAAGACATCGGCGCACATTTTAAAACCAGTCCCAAAAAATTCGGATAAAAACCTGAGTTTTGGCGAATTTTTAAAGTGGATGACGCAATGCTGCGTCATCCCCGGCATTACCGCCAGTAAACGGATGACCCCCGAGCGAAAGTGTTAAACACTGAATATACTGTATAATAGAATTCAAATTTTTAGAATTGTCATTAAATGTTTGAAAGTTGTTAATTTTTATTGTACAGAGTAATAAATATAATCAGTGAAGGGACCCATTGAGGAATGAGGAATTCTAGAGAAAGTAAAATGTTAGGGTTTGCATGAAAATCTTATGGTTTCAGACATTTTTGAGTTAAACATGCATCATTGACCATCTCAAGCATTTTGAGTTTTTGGTTGAAAAGTTGAGGGAGCATTTAATATTAATGTTAAAGTGTGTGTTTCATTGAGTAAAGAAAAAGAAAAAATTTGACTTTGGAGTTCTATCTACAGAAATGCAACCATTCCATAAATTGAGGGCCTCCTGTAAATATTTATTAATTCTGTAAATGTTTCACAATTTTAATTTTAGTAATATGCTATATGTATTTGTAAAATATTCAAATTACTACAGGATCATGTTGAAAGCAATTACAAATGGAAAATGCCTGTACACATATGATTAATAATCAGTTGAGATAAACACATAGAATTTAATACATTTTAGGTACAGTAAATGGCTATAAATATCTTTTTATAACTTTAATATGTTATTGTTGCAGGCAAGTCAGAGGTCAGTGTTAGCATGCACACACGTTGCTCAGGGCCACTCCAAAGCTGTGTTGTCAGTGTATGCAACTGATGATCTTCTCTTCTCAGCATCTAAAGGCAAGGCAATGAAACTAGTAGCTGTGTGTATTGAAGTAAGGGCGAAGAGGTAGAACATCTGGTTGACAGAGTCCGGGTGAATGGGGGGGGGTGTAGGGGAATTGTGTAAAACCTCGGTTTATGTCTCGGAGAAGCTGTGGGATCTGTGTGAGGGCAGTAGCACTCCCGGTTGCAATTCTTTTACCGTGTCGTGGCGCAGTCGACTAAGGCGTGTCTGGGATCATCTTGGACGTAGGTTCAAATCCTCATCACGGCCCTTGTGGATTTGTTCATTAGTCGCTCAATACATTATATCGAGTTATATATTTAGTAGCATGTACCATAGTTTATATTGTGGGAGCAAGTATGAATGTAGAATATTGTATATATTTTAGAAATTTAGAAGTTAAGAAAATAAATACTTATTACATTGTAATAATCAGTATATTTTTATGAGCTGTAAATGTTTTGCAGATCGCACTGTCAAAATGTGGGATTTAGTTCGGGGTCAAGAAATCCAGTCGCTAGGTGGTCATCCCAATAATGTTAATTGTGTTAGATATTGTGAAGCTCAACATACATGTTTCTCCGTGTCCTCGTCATTTATCAAGGTGAGAAATTTATATACTTCTTATAAAATATTATAGTTTTGGAATTTGAATGGTTAAAAAAAAGTATCATAAGAAATACATCTAAGAGCCAACTGTTTATCTTCTTCTGGAGTTGGCAAATCTTCCTTTAATTTTCTGCAGTCCTTAGTTTATACATTATTTATTAGCATTGCATTATCTACAAACATTGACATCTATGAATTCACTCCATCGGGGAGGTCATTTACATAATGTAGAAATAAGAATGACGCTAGTACTGATCTTTCTTTTCTTTCAGGTATGGGATATCCGTGAAAACCCAGCCAAATGTACCAAGACACTCAGCTCTGCAGGGTTAACATCAACTGGGTTTACACAGGTGAACACTCAGTCACGAACTCTTCAAATGCCGCCAGGAGAAACATTAATTACTGATATTGCCATATCTACATCATCAAATATTCTATACTCGGCAGCAGGAAATATAGTCAGAATTTGGGACCTAAGGAAGTGAGTAGTTATTGTGAATTTTTTAACAGAATTTAGGGCATCTCTCTTCTTACATTATTGTCATGATGTGGGGTACATTTGCACTTAATTACTTTATTGACTCTTTAATAAATACCATTTTCCTAGTTTCTTTAGTTTTCCATGTGCGTTTCAATCTTTTTATATATATTGTCTTTCTACTGTCTCGTGTATGTGCTTAAGGAAATTTCTACTGGATTTTTTAATACTGTATTTTCATTTCTTAGTGCAATAACTGCTTAACCATTAAGCTGGTAAGGGGTCCTGAGGACTTTACACCCCTGTGTGCAAGAAAAAAAATTATACAATTTTTTGTTTTCGTCTTTTAAAAATGTTTATTTGTGTTCCCTGAGCATGTGGAAAAAAAATTGTAGGCGACATATTTTGTCCACAATAAGCCGAGTAAATGTGGCAAAATATAGGCGTTGACAGAGGAAGGGTCAGAGGCGGTCAGCTCCGCCACGGCTTTTAGGCGGGAGTTGCCACAAAGATATTATCACCTAATTATTTCAATGTCTGACTGATTTTTTCTTAGTTTTTCTTACTTAATTTATAAGTATCTGCATGTTTTGTTCACCATAACGAGCCACTGAGTTGGTATGGCGAGTCAAAAAGCAACGAGGAGTGGCAGCCACACCAGCCAGCCAGCCACTCCCTCAACAGTACCTTACTACCCAACATTCTGTTTTTGCTTGTATTCACTATATACAGACATTATATATAAGTATCTACATGTTTTATTCACCATAACTGTACAACTAAGCTTTAATGGTGCCCAAAGAGCATAATGCTCTTAGTGCTATGTGCACTTAGTGCATAGTGCTATGTGTGCTAATGGCTTTACAAGAATGTTTAACTTCAAATCTCTGTACTGTAATAAATCCAATGTACCCTCTTGTATATAAATAAATAAACAAATAAATAGTGGCCACCTTCTACACAGCATGACAAGTCATGCAGATGATGCCGCCACTGTCACCCAAATGGCTCCTCCCAACATACTCCTTTTGTTGTTATTACACTAATACACACATTATATACAAGTATCTACGTTTGTGTTTACCATAGTGAACCACTAAACTGGTATGGTGAGTGCAGACAACAGTGGCCACACAGATTGTCACACACTGTCATTGCTAAATAACAGCAGTTACATATTTATTTTTACATTTTTAAGCAATGCTGTGGTCACAAGCTGAACAGCTGTGCTGTTAGCTTATGCTGCGTGCACCAGCCTTGGTTGCTGTCAATCAACTGTTTACTAACTTTTTTTTTTTCTCTCTCTCTCTCTCTCTCTCTCCACACCACACACACCCCAGGAAGCAGTCCGTAACAGCTGACTAACTCCAAGGTACCTATTTACTGCTAGGTAACAGGAGCATTCAGGGTGAAAGAAACTTTGCCCATTTGTTTCTGCCAGGTGTGGGAATCGAACCTGCGCCACAGAATTACGAGTCCTGCGCGCTATCCACCAGGCTACTAGGCCCCGTGGCTACCATTGTATATGTATGCATGTGCCCGATGAGACATGTTACTCCGGTCGTATATATATGCGCAGCGCAGCTTAAGGGTTAATTATGACAGACTCAAATTATTTGGGGGATTTTTGAAGTGACCAAATTAAACAAGGCGTTAATTTATTTGAATGAAATAAATGTATCGTTACTGTTTCCCACCTTCATGGAGTGGGGAGGCATCTGCCTTCAGATAAAAAGTAAATAATATATTGAAGGTTATAGATATTAAATATAAAAGTATCACTGGTCCATTTGTTCTATCATTTGCTCTATATTAAATAAACAAGCACCATGGCACTTCAGTGGTTATTGAAGTTAAAAACAAAACATTCACTTATTACAAATTGCTTCCACCAAATCTTGAGCCTTTACATATCCTGTGCATTGTTCACATTTGTTCTTAGATTCCCCACACACTCATTATGACTGCCTATCTTTCTCTCATCCTAAAATTCACTCAAACTCATCAGTCTTTCATCATCCATATAGTGAACATGTGCATACTATATTGGTACACTCATCTTAATCTTGTGGTATATCAACCTTTTCACACCACATCTCCCCATGACATTTTCATTCTTTACTCTGATCAAATTTCCAAAAACTACACATTCTTTTCAGATTGTCTATTTTTACTGCTCTATTTTTTTATGTTCATACCACACTGTCTTGTGCTAACCGTTTTATGGTTGGATTTCATTATACCAGCCTTCTTCTGACTCATCTTTCACTCAACTTTGCACAAATTCTTCTTATTAACTAAATACCCCAAGTATTGAAACTGATCAACCCTTGCAGCACTTTACCTTTTACCGTACAATTAACAAAATGATCTTCTTTCCCTGCCACCATATCTTTGCTTTTTCACATTCACATATGACAGTGTTTCCTTGCACATACAAGATTGTACAGTACATAATATGTTGTACAGTACATAATATGCTGGTACACATTTGTCTTATTGAGATCTGCTTGCATATATCAAAGTATTTTATTCTTAAGTTGAGTTGACATATTACTTGAGTTAGCATATTACTATTCAACTCTTTCATGATGGTAATAATATATACTGTACTACAGTACTTTGATGGTGAAGTGAGACATCTAAGAAAGCTGATATGGTTGTATAATTAAACAGTTATTAGTTGAGCAAATTTTAATTTATCTAATAATACATTCTCTTTCAGACACACAGCTGTGGGTAAATTAGCAGGAGGGCACCAAGCAGCTGTCATGTGTTTGGCTGTAGATTCAACTGTCCCAGGTCAAGATGTAATTGCAACAGGATCTAAAGACCACTACATTAAGGTTAGTGGTTAATATTCCCTGCCTCACCCTCCTCTCCAACCACCTTCCCCTTTATTCCAATTCATTCTCTCTCAAATTCTTCATTTTTTTTTGTCCTTACCCCACTCCCTCTCTGCTCAATATTCTTCCTCTTCCCTCTTAGGGGAGAGGAAGAAGATTCAGCAGAGGTGGAGTGGGGCAAGGACAAAGAAATGAAGGATGAAGAGGAAGGGGAAATTCCTTCTCTTACCCCCCCCCCCCCCAGGAAGAGAGAGGTGGGGGAGAAAGAGGTAGGGGGAAGACGAGAGAGAGAGAGAGGTGGTGGGGAGGAAAGAGGTGGGGGGGGGGGAGGTGGGGCTCCTTCCCCACCTTCTTCCTCCCCTCCCTCCCTCCCTCTTCTCTCCCTTCCCTCCCCCCTCCTCCAGGGAGGAGAGGAGAGATGGGGGATCC